TCAGGAGGCTGAGACCTGAAGATCAGGTCTCAAAGGCAGTTCAAATCCAGCCCAGGCAGGAAAGGCTGTGAGACTTTTATCACCAATTAACCACCAGGAAACTGGAAGTGGAGCTGTGGCTCAAAGTGGTAGAGTACTAACCTTGAGCTAGTGCACCCAGGCCCTGACAAACAAGAACAAAAGAAAAGAAAAGTCAAATTCACAATGGTCAATTTTTAGTTGTTTTTGCTTTTTGTTTTGTTGTAGTAGGAGAGGCTTCAGAGGCTGATATGCCAGTCATGTCTAAGAAGAAGGAATCAAGATAGAAGATGCCCAATGTATAGTAACCACACCTTTTCCTGGCCCTGGTGTTATAATTGGAATAGCCAACTCTAGAGGAGGCAGAAGGAGAAGGCAGGCAGTAAGTGCCCCCTGCCAGAACTCTTCTACCATTCCTGCTTCACTTGGCTTTCTATAGGCTGGGGAGAGGTCAAAGGCATTTTCCTCAATCCCAATTGCACAACAGTGGGAAGGGGAAGAATTCAGGAAAGGAGTCTGGCTGTCTAGTACATCACACAGTACTACTCACCAGAGACAGCAAAATGCTACACCTCCTAACATCACTGCCACACACACATGCACATGGAGACATACATACCTGGCCAACCTTCTCTGCCATCTCCCACTACCCTCAACTCGACATGGCAAACTTCTCTGTCTCTCATCATGGATGTACTTCTACCCCCATGCTGGGGTAATCATCCGCTACATTATGCAAGAATCTTTGCCTTCTAACAGATCAGGCGAGGAACTGCACAGTCCCTGTTTCCTATCAATGATAAGGTCCCCCTCCTTCCGATCTACATTATCTAGCCAGTACATTTCTCCTCAAAGGGTACAGATCCCTGACTCCTTCAGGGCAAACTCAGTCCTTCGCTTATATACTCCCAAAGCACCCTTGTACTCTGTAGCATGCTGAGCTTTCGTAATTGTCACCTTTGTGTCATTTATAGTCATTTGTATAAAATCTGCCTCCCCTGGCACGTTCATGAGTACGTAGCCCTGTCCTTAATGGTCACTGCTGCATCGCTCCTGTGCCCTCTAAACGTACCTCCTGCCTGAAATGTATTCCAAATTATTCTTGGGTTATCTTAGCATCAAAGATGTCCCTTTTTTGGATGTCCAACTTAAGAGTCTGCTTTGGTTACAGAAGAGTAGCCTGGCTTCCTTTCATCAAATTGCAAGCTGCCCATCTTACCTATACCAAGTCATAGGTGGTCTCTAAGTTTTGTCCATGGTTATTCTTCCCACTCCCACATAACCAACCTCTTGTCCTGGTGGTAAAAAAGTGACCACCATATCCAGCATGGTCCCTCTTCTGAAGGATCAGGATTCTACTACTAGGGGCAAGATGGGCGGTAGAAATCAAACAGGTGACAAACATCTTCCACTAGAATTAGAACACATCATGACTCTAATACATTAGGGATTCAAGATCTCAGTTTACGGAAGGCTAGAAGATTCACACTGACTGAGCAGCACAGGAGAGCATTTATGGCAAACATGGCCCTGAAGTAGGCACTTGTGACAGAGATATAAAGGTTAAAACAATATGTCCACAAAGATCCAAGGAAGGCCTTATTCCTTCAAAGTCACAGACTCTAGGTGAGTCTTAAGTCACCAAGTAAAAGCCTCTATTCACTACAAGGAAAATCCCTTGTACAATTAATGTGCAGTAACTTTTTAAAAAAGGTAGAGGGGCTGGGAAGGTGGCTCAGTGGTAGAGTGCTTGCCTTGCATGCATGAGGCCCTGGGTTCGATTCCTCAGCACCACATAAGCAGAAAAAGCCAAAAGTAGTACTTTGGCTTAAGTGTAGATTGTTAGCCTTGAGCCTTGAGCTGAAGGACAGCGCCCAGGCCCAGAGTTCAGGCCACATGACCAACCAGGAAAAAAAAATAAAAAAAAAAACAAACAAAGGGAGAGAAAATAAAGCAGATTACAACTTTCCCTGAAGTAATTAAGTTGATTTTCTCTAGAAATAGTATCAAAGCTCAGAGAACAGGGCTTAGGGGAATAGCTCAGCAGTGGAGTGCTTGCCTAGCAGAGCCCAGATCCTTAGCAACCCCAAAAATAAAAGAGAGAAAGAGAGAGGGGGGAGAGAAAGAGAGAGAAAGAGAAGGAAGGAAAAAAGGAAAGAATAAAAGATAACAGGCTTCCGCTGGGCACCTGTGCCTCATGCCTGTAATCCTAGCTACTCAGGAGGCTGAGATCTGAGGATCATGGTTCAAAGCCAGCCCAGGCAAGAAAGTCCGAGAAACGCTTATCTTCAATAAACCACTCAAAAACCGGAAGTGGCACTGTAGCTCAAGTGGTAGAGCGCTAGCCTTGAGCTGAAAAGCTGAGGGACAGCGCCCAAGCCCAGAGTTCAAGCCCCACAACCGACAAGAAAAAACAAAACAAAACAGGCTTCCAAACCTCTTCTGAGATAGCCCCTTATAAAGGAAGGAAAGGGCTCAAGATTTCCTTGTTTGGAGCCCCAGGTAGAGGACAAAGCAAAGCATCATCTTTGGTACTCACGTCAAAGAATGAGGCAGCCCAAGACTCCAGAAAATCAAAAGACCAGCAAGATGGGGGAGGCTTCAAGTCAAGGTTGCCTAGAGCAAGTTAGGAGAATGAAAGTAATAATTAAACCAGCTGGTAAAGGTCCATGTTTATGGACATTCATCTGACTCCAAGGTAACTGTGATGTTAAACATCACACCACTAGAAAGAGAAATCTGCTATCCCAATTCCACAAAAAGGACCAAAAGTCCAAAGATGGTAGGTTATGGGGGGCTTGCACCTCTTAAGTTTTTTTTGTTTTGGTTTGATTTGGTTTTTGGGTTTTTTGCCAGCTCTGAGCTTGAACTCAGGACCTGGACACTGTCCCTGAGCTTCTTTTGCTCAAGACTAGGACTCTACCACTTCTGGCTTTTTTTTATTTATGTGGTACTGAGGAATCGAACCCAGGGCTTCGTGCATGCTAGGTAAGCACTCTACACTAAGCCACATTCCCAGCTCTGGATAAGATTTTTTTTTTTTTTTTTTTTGCTTATGTGGTGCTGAGGAATCGAACCCAGGGCCTCATGCATGCAAGGCAAGCGCTCTACCACTGAGCCACCTTCCCAGCCCTCTGGATAAGATTTTGAACTGAATTTTCTCTCCAAGGATCTGATGCAGGCATTCAAGTTAGTAGCTGATGTGTTTAGTTGAATGTATAGTTAAAAGACCATTCCGAGAAAATCTTTCTTCATGCCAGCAATCTTCTTCTTTTTAGTGGCCGTGGTGCTACTGGGTTTGAATGCTCCAGTAATCTTAACTAGACTGAAAAGTCTGCTAGGAGAGGATTCAGAAAGATGAGCCCCAAAAGCTATTAAACTATTAACAATACATACTTCCTTTGTGACAGACAATGCTCTATTTATGGCCCACTGGAATAAGCAACAGGAGTGAGTGTGTGTGTGTGTGTGTGTGAGCATGTGCACGCACACACACAGAAGTACACTTTCAGGTGTATCATTTACTCTTGGACTTCATTTAGCTCTCAGAAAAGTTTTGGTTTACATCACAGACATAAAACACTCTGATGGGGGCTGGGAAGGTGGCTCGGTGGTAGAATACTTGCCTCACATGCATGAGGCCCTAGGTTCAATTCCTCAGCACCACATAAGCAGAAAAAAAGCTGGAAGTGGCGCTGTGGCTCAAGTGGTAGAGTGCTATCCTTGAGCTGAAGAGCTGAGGAACAGTGCCCAGGCCGAGTTCAGGTCCCACGACCGACAAAAAAAAAAAACACTCTGAGATGTAGCACCTTCCTCCCCGTTCTAGTACATTCAAATCCTAACCCTATCAACTTGCAATAACCAATTTCTAGGGTTGTGAAAATGGAATGGATCTTGCATGCAAAACTGGTCACTGGGAAAGGTGTCGTTTCCACGACATTGGATTGTCTCCAGTGTCTACAACCTATGCTGGCCCACAAGTAAGGACTAATTCTTGGGGCTGGGAAGGTGGCTCAGTGGTAGAGCGCTTGCCTTGCATGCATGAGGCCCTGGGTTCAATTCCTCAGCACCATAAGCAAAAAGAAAAAAAGCCGGAAGTGGCGCTGTGGCTCAAGTGGTAGAGCGCTAGCCTTGAGCTGAAGAGCTGAGGGACAGTGCCCAGGCCCAGAGTTCAGGCCCCACGACCTGACCCCCCCCCCCCCCCCCCAGAAAAAGACTAATTCTTATGGTCCTCTGCAGGTGAGGGGGATGGGAGCTAACATTTCCGGCCAGATGTAGCTTAACAAAACCAGCCTTTCCCAAACACCTTTCACTCTTGGTGTCTGCTTACCTCAGGGGTCAGGTGGCACTGACCAGTCTGCCTGTAGCCCTCTTCCACAAGCGACCAACCTCCGGCAAGCGGGCATCCCCCATCCTGAACTGTCATAAGGCCCTAACCCCTCCTCCCCAAAGCTTGACAATCGAAGGCAACAGGAGCCAGAGGGGTTCCCAGGCAGTCCTAGCGCCACGTGGCTCCTGCATCCAATGTGCTGCAAAGCTGCCTAGCAAATTCAGGACAGATGTAAACTCCCTAGGGGCATGTGGCCCTTGAAGGCAGGTGTGGCGATGAGCCTCACTCTCCAGGTCCCTTACCTGCTCGGAAGGAGGGACGCTCGGAGTCACTGGCCACCACAGGGCCCACCTCACACGCCTGGCCCGCCAGCCCCGCCTGCCGGGCTGGAGAACCACCCCTCGCCACCCCCACGCCCCTCCTTCCCGGCCAATCACAGCTCGGGAAGCTCCCGCCAGCCGCGTGAGCGCGTTTTCCCCCATTCCCGGGGTCACTAGGAGCCAGCCCCGCCTCCAGCGCCTCTAGGACTGCCCACGCGGTGGGGGCAGGGCTTCCGTGCGCATGCGTACTGAGGGAATAGCGGCTCCGGGCCCCGCCCCGTATCGCTGCTTGGCTCCTCCGCTGAGCGTGCGAGGGACGTCGGGGGCGGCGCCCGAGCAGTTGCCCTGGTAACGAGGGAGGCCGGAGGAGGAGGAGGCGGAGGCGGAGGAGGAGGGATTCGGCGGGAGGATGGTGAGTGTGGGGGCCTTGGCCCCTCTGGAGTCGTCCGATCACCCCCCCCTCCCCCTAACCCTGCACTCCTGTCCCCAGGCCCCGGGCGGGGCGCTGCACTTAAAGCCAAGGAGAGAATGGATGGCGCTCAGCTTGGTTGCTGGGTTCTAGATTGGTTTCGGGGGCAGCGGGGAGCCCCAAAAGGGTGGGCCCTGATGGGAAGCCTGGGCCTGGGGGAAAGGCGGGGCTTGCCATGGTTTCTAGGCTGGGGAAGGGACCTGAGGAATACCTCGTCGGCGGGGTACGGAGCCTCGCTGGGTTCTATCATTACTCGGGGGACAAGGGTGGACCCGAGCAGCTTGGAGAGCGATCGCCACACACAGGCTTAGATCTCCTTGGGCCGTCGGCCCAGCCCGCCGCAGGGCGGTGGGGTCTGTCGGGGCCCGGCCAGAAGCGGGAAGAAGGGCCGGTGTTCCCGTCTTAGCGATCGCCCTGGAGGTACCAAGGGAGGAGATGGTAGCCTAGCTCTCCTCTTCCTCCAGTGCTCGGGCCCCTGGGTGAAGCGTGTAGGGAATAAGTCCCAGGACACAAAGAAGCGTTGCTTGGGAAGGATGCCTGCTGTATTTTACAGCGTCTCAGCGTGTACGTGGCAGTGCGCTCCGGCCGTCCAGAATTACTTGTTTAGAGTTCTGCAAGGGCCGGTTGTTGGGTGATGACCCGTTTTCATTCCATCCTTCCTTAATTCATGCTGGATAGAAGCAAAATCATGCCAGGCGTCGGTGGCTCACGCCTGTAATCCTACCTATTCAGGAGGCTAAGATCTGAGGATCGTGGTTCAAAGCCAGTCCCAGCAGGAAAATCCATGAAATTGTTACCTCCAATTAACCACCAGAAAACTGGAAGTGGCGCTGTGGTTCAAGTGGTAGAGTGCAAACCTTGAGCTGAAGAGCTCAGGGACAGAGCCCAGACCCAAAGTTCAAGACCCTGACCAACCCCCCCCCCCCAAAAAAAAAAGTAAAAGTAAAATCGTCACCTGGTTCTTAGCATTTCTATCCGAACCCATTGCAGTGTCCTTTTTCATGTGACCCGACCAGAACCAAAAGATTTGATTTCAGTTGGAATCTCCAAACCAAAAAGAAAAACCAAAACTGGAGAGTGAAGATCATCAATTTGGGACAACAAGCCTCTTTATAACTTTTTTAAATGTTGAAACGCTTTTTTTCTTTTTTGTTGTTGGTGTTGGTGGTGGTGGTGGTGGTGGTGGTGGTGGTCGTGGTCGTGGTCGTGGGGCCTGAGCTCTGACCTGGGCGCTGTCCCTCAGCTCTTCAGCTCAAGGCTAGCACTCTACCACTTGAACCACAGAGCCACTTCCAGCTTTTTTCTGCTTATGTGGTGCTGAGGAATCCAACCCAGGGCCTCGTGCATGCAAGGCAAGCACTCTACCACGGAGCCACCTTCCCAGCCCCACAAAATGTTGAAACTCTTGACATAAGAAAAAAAAAAAGCACTAATGGAGTGGAAGAGGGTGAGGTAATGTGAGGCAGATAGCTCATGCCTGGATTCCCAGCTACTTAGGAGGCTAAGATCTGAGGATTGAGGTTTGAAAACCAGCACAAGTGGGAAAGTCTGTGAGACTCTTCTCTTCAATTAACCACCAAAAAAGCCGGAAGTGGAACTGTGGCTCAAGTGGTAGAGTGCCAGCCCTGAACAAAAAGGCTAAGCAACAGTAAAAGTTCAAGACAGGCCCTAAGTTCAAGAACCAAAACCAACACACAAAAAGAAAACCACTTGATGTCCAGGAAGAAAATATACATAAAACTTTGTTCAGCTTATCCAGTAAATAAGTTATGATTTTAGAATTGATTTTTATGATGTCAAATTGTTAAAGAAGTAGAGTTATTTGATCTATGGTTGCCAATCACATTTCACACTTTCTACATTTGCAGTTCTTTTTAACCTCAGGCTAAACAGATTTTTACAAGTGTTTTCCTTTTTATTAATCATTTATACATGAGCTGTCCATTTAAAGGCTAAATTATCTCAACAAATGAATACACATGTAAATATTTATACAGAAAAGAACTAGAAATGAAAAAGGGATGCCAAACCAACAAAAAATGAGATTTGTATTGAAAATGAGGAAGATGAGAGTGGCTAACTTTTCCGACTTTATCAATTAAATGGACTGCATAATTTCATGATTGTTTAAAATTGTAGAACATAGTAAATTCACTACTGCTGGGGTTTCTAGGTGCACATTGACACAATATACAACAAATTAACAGTATATGCTTCTGTTTTTGTTTTTGTTGGTTATGGGGCTTGAACTCTGGGCCTGGACACTGTCCCTTAGCTCTTCACCGCAAGGCTAGCACTCTACCACTTGAGCCATGGCACCACTTCCACTTTCTGCTTATATGGTTCTGAGGAATCGAACCCTGGGCCTCATGTACAGGAGGCAAGCACTCTACCACTGAGCCACCTTCCCAGGCCCTATGCTTCTGTTCAAAATGACTAGTATTCAATGATCAAAATACATATTGTTTATCTCTTTTCTTAAAATGAACAACAAGAAATTAGGACACATTCTAGATTTACAAATACTTTTTTTTTGGATTGGTCATGGGGCTTGAACTCTGGGCCTGGGCGCTGTCCGTCAGCTCTTCAGCTCAAGGCTAGTGCTCTACCACTTGAGCCACAGCACCACCTCCAGTTTTCTGGTGGCTCACAGACTTTCCTGCTGGGGCTGGCTTTGAACTATGATCCTCAGATCTTAGACTCCTAAGTAGCTGGGATGACAAATGTGAGCCACCAGTGCCCAGCTACAAAATACTTTGTTTTTGTTTTTTTATTCTTTTGCCAGTCCTGGGGCTTGAACTCAGGGCCTAGGCATTGTCCCTGAGCTTCTTTGGCTCAAGGCTAACACTCTACCACTTGAGCCACAGCAACACTTCTGGCCTTTTCTGTTTATGTGGTACTGAGGAATCAAACCCGGGGCTTTGTGCATGCTAGGTCAGTACTCTTCCACTAAGCCACATTCTTTTTTTCTTTTCCTATCGTTGAAAGTGTGAACCATTCTTACAACTGGGAGTAGAATACTGAACTTAAACAGTAAATTACATGATTAAGTATGTCACCTCTAGTATTCCATTAGCCCCCATGGTTCACTGGGCAACTGGAAAGTGAGTTCCAGGGCCATGTTTTAGACTTCAGCTGTGACTCATACATTTTTTTTTTCCCTAAATTTGAGTTGCTGAAAAAGAAACAAACAAAAAACATTAAGGGTTTCTAGAACATCAGCTTAGGATCAGCTATTTTACTCCTAGACTAGAACACTAAATTCCTAATGGAATACACAGATGACAGTAATTTGGGCACACAACTAATGGCTGTGATTTAACATGCAACTCAGTTTGGTAATTATATAGAGAGCATATAGAATTATCTAGTATGTTTAACATTTGAAGATTGTTCAACAGTATATATGTATTCTAGTCAAAAATGGTCAGTGAAAAATATAATTTAAAAAGATGTCACAGGGGCTGGAAAGGTGGCTCAGTGGTAGAGTGTTTACCTTGCATACATGAGGCCCTGGGTTCGATTCCTCAGCACCATGTGAGCAGAAAAAGCCAGAAGTGGTGCTGTGGCTCAAGTGGTAGAGCGCTAGCCTTGAGCTGAAGAGATCAGGGACAGTGCACAGGCCCAGAGTTCAAGACCCACAACAATACATACATACATATAAAAATAAGTCACGCAGCAGAGTGTGGTGGTACACACCTATAATCCCAATTGTGGCAAGAGGACTATTAGACTATAGAACCTGTCTCAAGTAATTAATACAAGTGTATTAGTGTGTTACAAAACGAGCCAGGCGCCAGTGGCTCATGCCTGTAATCCTAGTTACTCAGGAGGCTGAAGATCGGGATTTGAAGCCAGCCTGAGCAGGAAAGCCAATGACACTTTCTCCAGTTAACCACCAGAAATCTGGAAGTGGTGCTGTGTCTCAAAGTGGTAGAGCACTTGAACAAAAAAGCCCAGGGACAGTGCCCAGCCCCTAAGACCAACAACACTGACCAACACTGACAAAAAAACACCCCACAATTATGAACATTTTAATTAAACAAACACCAGGGCCTGACCCAGTAGCTCAGATCTATAATTCCAGCTATCCTCAGAGTTCTGGAAGACTGAACTTCAAAACCAGCCCAGGTAGTTTGTGAGACTCCATCTCAACAAGTCAGGCATGATGGTGTTAAGCTGTGTCCCAACCATCTGGGAGTCTTTCAGAGAATCAGTATCTCAGGGCCAGCCCCAAGTAAGACCTGGAGACTCTAAAGAATAACTACAACAACAAAATAGACTCCTAGCTGGGCGCCAGTGGCTCACGCCTGTAATCCTAGCTACTAAGGAGCTGAGATCTGAGAATCAGTTTAAAGCCAGCCTGGGCAGGAAAGTCCTGAGACTCTTATTTCCAATAAAACCACCAGAAAACCAGAAGTGGTGCAATGGCTCAAGAGGTAGAGCTCTTGAACTGAAGATCTGAGGGACAGAACCCAGGTGCAGAATTCAAGCCCCATGACCAAAAAAAAAGACTCCATTGGTAGAGTACTTGATACAGTACCTGAGGCGCAAACAGAACACCCTGAGTTTAAACCCCAATCCTGCAAAGAAACCACAGCTACTATTTTGTGTGGCTACTATGTATCATGCTTTATCTGCAACATTCTTTCAACAAGTTCTGCTCAAATGGAAACCCACTCAGCTGAAGAGATTTATACTTTGTCTCAGGTAACATTTGTATTTACTTAGTTTGAGAGGAAAAAGAAATTGAGCCCAGAGCTGGTGGCTCAAACCAACTACTCAGGAGGCTGAGATCTGAAGATTACTGTTAGAATGAAGCCAGCCCAGGCAGGAAAGTCTAACTTTTAGCTCCAATTAATAACTAAAAATCCAGAAGTACAGATATGAGGTGAGGGAAAACGAAGGAATGACATTGTTAAAAAAAAAAAAAAAGCTATGTA